ACAATGAAGCAGACCTTAGATCATTTTGATTTAAAATGTAATTACTTTATCATTTAATCCTATTAGACAACAGGAAAACATAATGTCTCCAGCCATGGCTATCAGTGACAGAGAGAGAGATAAAAACACCCTTAAGAAGTGTGTAAACGATAACAGAAGCACCATGTGTGAAGCAGTGGCAATGAAAAAGCAGTTTGTTACCTATGAGGGATTTGATGCTCTCCAGAACAATATGGCTGGTAATATTCCCCGACAGGTCTTGGCCTAGCTCAGTGATTAGTTTGGCGTAGCCCTCGTTCTCCTCTCTTAGCAGGTTAAACTTTTGCTGCTTGTAACTGAAAAGAAAAAAAGAAATGTTAAACAAATCTTGAAAGGACTTATGAAGCACCTTATCTATGCCTACATCTTTATCACATTTCTATACTTACAATAGTTTAGTCTTGATTTTAACAATTTTCTGATTGAACTGATGGGCTTGTTTTATAAGTCCAAGGGACTCGAGAGTTTCTGGATCCAGCCTCTCTTTCAGAATGGCTTCAGGGACACAAAACTGGGGGGAAAAACACATTTTTTAAAAAAGAGGCAAGTAATTAGTTCATTTTAGTACGTTATTAGAGACACGACAGTCAGTAAGGCCTCTATAAATTTAAATAGAAAGTGGCATACAATTTGTTCTATCAGCTGATAAGAAAGTAATACTTACCAAACATGCTCCGACCAGCTGTGTGTAATGGTCACGTTTGTTTTTTTCTTCCAGTGCACTAGTCTCTAAATCTGTGAAAGTAAACAAACATTAAAAACAAACAATAAAAACATATCAAATCAGATAATGTCGTCATAGTACTAAAACAAACAATCAAACAAACAAACTCAAAACCGGAAAAGTTACCGAGTATACTGAACACATCTGCTAAAACTGATGGCATGTCTTCTCGGAGTTCCTGAAAACAAACCAAAATAAAAGATAAGTAAAAATGTTTTAGGCTTGGCAAAATCTATTGTTACGAGGTAAAAAGAAGCTCTAACAACACAACTCCTGTGAGTGGGTAGATTTTGTTTCTTTAGTATCTGCAATTTACCATCATATCTTTAAACAGACGTATAATTACACAGAAATACTGAACACATTATGTGCCAAAATAAAATGACAGTGTTTATACACCTGACATACAGAACTTTAGACACAAAACCAAAATTTGAGATGTATTGCTATTGGGTTAATAATGTTAAACCATGAGGTGGTAATAAGAAAAACAAAAAAAACACACAAAAAAACCCCACACAAAACAAAAAAAGCCCAACAACAACAACAAAATCTTGAGGTAAAAACAACAAGCTAAAAACACATGTACCATCATGTCCCCAAGGACGCTGGTGACAAGATCCAACTTGAGGTTCCCCTGTACAACTTGCCAGCAGAGCTCATATAAGGCAGTCTGTATGTCTGTAGGGGTAACAGATAAAAGCACAAGCCAAGTTTTATGTAATACTAAAATTAAAAGAAAGTAAATGAGAAATAATTCATAACATAAACTAAAACATCAAAGATTAGTGTAAGTGATTCAATGCAGCATTGTTGAATAACAAGGAAAGTATTTCCTTGACCTTTTCGACATAAAATCACTTGATTACAGTGTTATCTGAAATTTTGTGACATGTGTCAGCACACACTAAACAGAAATCTCCACATGGGCTGCTTAGTTCCTTTCTACCTTCCAGCCATTGTTACACATGAATAGTACTGTGTTAAAAAAATTAAACAGTACTTCTGAAATTCATTGATTTTATTTTATTTTTTAAAATCTACTTATTATTTAAATTTAAATAATTTTAAACCTTTTGCATTCGTTTTGGAAACTATGAGATTTCCCAAGGTGGACGTGTGTACATGAAGAGCAAGCTAAAATACAGTGACAGATGCATACAAGAAGAGTATTAAAGGAACGAGGGTCACACTCAACTCACCTTTAATTTCACTTCCATGATCTGCTTTCTCTGTAAGGTCTTTGCAGAGTTGTACACTATGAAGTAATGAGAGAATTCTCTTTTAGATTAAACTAGGGTACATAAACATGATGATGAAAACCCTTATAAAGCTCAATGAACGAACCAGGATGCATGAAAACTTATCTGTTTGTTCAGTGCCAACAATTTCTACATAACATTATTCTTGTAATATCCCGTTCACTTCCTCCAAGTTATATTTCTAAACCACATAACACTATACCTTTATTTACGCCTTAATCCAGTCTTAACATTACACCACAAAAAGCTTTAGGTTTATCCTACTTATCAATGTAGTAACTCAAGAAATATTATATTACCTACATTGTCACTACACGAGTATTTATGCTGAAACTGCTGTGTGTGTATATAACAATAGCACTGGCTCTTATGTTTGCTGGATTGATTACTGACTGAATCTTTGGGCGGGACAACCCTTACCTTTTCTGTTGCCAAACGCTCACACAGATTTATAGTAAGTATTTACTGAGTGCCATGTTTCTCCCTCTTAAATTGACTGTGACTGTGATAGCTTAGCTGGTGGATTGAAAGACTTAACGGTTCACCCAGTTGACAGCTTGACTGGTCTTAAAATATCAGAAGTAGTGATGACAAAGGCAGATTAATAGAGCACTTTCTGCCAGGCACATCCCATTCATTAAAAGGTACAATTACACACACTGGAGCCCACTAGCTCCTTTCCTCTGTAAGAAACGCAGCGCAGTCCATCAGCTTAACTGTTAGAAATAACAGCTTGTGCTAAACACACTGTGAACAAGAAGTGCAAATGCTACAAAAAGTCAGAGTTACGGCAAGCGGACACCTTGGATTGCCAGAGCCTGTAAGGTCAAATGTGGCAAAGCTGCTATTTGTATAATGAGGCTGAAACAACATTTTCACCACTTTAAGCTAAACCCTGGTCTCTGGGACTGGTTAATTGCAACTCACCTGACATAACAAAATAATATTTAAAAAAAATGTAGATCCAGATATCTACAATGTTTTATATCAATGAATTATATGGCTTAAAAATATTGGTTAAGTAATAACAATGTGATACTTATCAACATGAAAACCACATTTTCATTTGCTGCCTGTCATTACAGAGGATGGCATCTCACTGTGCTGCCAAATCACACTTCCACTGCAATGTACTCAGCTTTGCTATAACGGGTAATTTGCCTTGATGGAAATACTTTAATAGTTACTCCGTAGTTGCAACTGTTTGGCACAATTTCCAGTTAAAGTGCTATCAGTTATTGACACAAGATAGTGGAACGAGAGTTTGAGTTGGTGCATCCCACTGCAGGCCTTTCTTAAATATGCAAGGCCTACAGCACATAATCGTAGCTAGTACTGTGGATGAGCCTATTGTGTCTCAGCTCACAGGCGATGGCAGTACTCAACATTAATGCGTGAAATTATTATTCACGCAACGTTTTTCTTGTATTTTTTTGTTCTGAAGAAACTAATTTTAAGATAACAGTCGCCGTACATCAAGGTGTTGGGAGAGGCTTTTACAGTACTGCTTAAATTATTAAGTTTGACATGTAATGTTAGTGATAAAGTTGACTCTGGTAATCGAGATGCCTTTATACAGCACCAAGCGCACAGATGTGCATCGATCAATAACCTTGGCTATGTCCACAGTCTCTATGCAAACCTTACAGCGGCTATCCTACACCAATATCTAGGTGAAATTAACGCCAGCTAAGAAAAGTATGACGTTAGCTGTAGCTAGGTTAACATTATGATTAAAATCTTCATCTCCTAAAATATATATCGTCAAATGATACGTTTTGTTACACTGAATCAAAAAGCGTCATCTTTATTCTTCCAGGCTTACCCGACTAACCATTAAAGCATACGAAAAGGAATTCAACAAAACAATTACTGTAGCTAACGTTACGGCTAATCTGCTAAAGCGTTTTGTCAATGTCCGTTGTTTTCCCTCCACACGATTATTTAGTGTTAAGGTTTATAACAGGCTGCCCAAGGGGTTTTCTCGCCAGCTAATACTTGGTTGTCTGCTCGAAGTTGATAACTGCTAATTCCTTGAACTTTGGAAGTACATTTATTCCAGTTTACTAGATAGTGCGATATCGAAGCAACAGAAGAGTATGCTATGTGTATGCTAGCTCGCTTAGCGTTAACAGCCATAGTGTTTACACATTGACGGCGAATCAAATGGGAGCGTAAAGCTAGCCTTACTGCTAGCAGACAGCATTAGCTTCCACGGTGACGTTCAAAGCCATTGATGTCTTCTTTTTACAAGTCTAACAAATTAACTGTATTCAGTACTCAGGAACTAAATTACACGTATTGTTTTTTTTTTAAGTAAGTGACACTTGTAAGCCACTTTAAATTTTAGCTGCTTGGCTCAAGCTAACACACCTAAAGACCGGCCTTATATTTGAATGCTAGCTACGTCATTCTTGATAGTTTTTATTCGTAAATAACGGGTAAAAAGATGCAAAATTCAACACTGCGTTGAAATTCAGATGCACTCACAACTCATGTTTTCCTGTTTTTTCCCAGTTTTTGATCCATTCACTAGGAAGGGTAAGTGTCGCCATCTTCCATGCACACAGCCCGGATGTCTAGTTTATCATCATGGCACACACAGGGTCAAATGTGGTGGTTAGCCGCCGCTGCTAGATCACTGGTGCATTGTGGGACATCGACAGCTGTGAGTCCGAGGTTTTCGCACGGAGTGGTGGTGATGGTCGTGTAGTCTTGGAATAAGTTTGATTCTCCACGTTGTACTATTTAACTTGTTTCGTTAAATAAAATCCCGTGACACTTGAACAACCCAATTTAAATCTACCAGTAACATTTTCTCTAAGAACTACCTAAACAGCAAATTGCAGGACAGCTGCGATTTCCATAATCCTCCGGTGCATTCATGTTTCATCAGTAAAAGCCAGTTATAGTTACAGTACAGGTGTTCTAATACCATATCAAATCATATTTATTGCTGTGTTATTAAATCATCACACAGTTGTAGAGGGTTTATTCTGTTCATGTTACATCTCCAGACATAAATACAAACCGTAAAGGATGCAATGGGCACTTTGTAAATAGAATATAAACACAAATTTAATATATGCAAATATTTAAATATGTATAAACGTACAGATGTTTGCACATTTTCAGCAGTTTGATGCAAAACAGAAAAGCTCCAAAATGACATGAGTCATGTAAATTTACAGGCAAGTCTAAGATGTGTTTTTCTCATTTGCCTACCATGAATAGTTATTATGTATGTGGTAATGTTTAACCCTCTTGTTATGTTGGTTTCCAGGAACACCAATTATGTTCCTGGGTCAATTTGACCTGGGGAATGTGTACTCATCCAAAAGTGTCAGAAACACTGGCATTGATTATTTTACAATTTTCTTGTATAATTTTGATTTTTTTTTTTTCGTTTTCTGTAGTGATGCAGATGACATGTGACATCTCTTCTGTTCGGGATCAATCTGGCCCGCAACACAACAGGAGGGTTAAGACCTGATGATTTGATTCTCCAGATTATAGTGACACTGAGGAAATAAGGTATTCATTTTCAGCTACAATATGATTACACCTTCTTTCATAAAGTCTGATTCTGCCAGCCAGGCCAATACACAGAAGAAATACCGGAACAATCCACGGTAAAACAAAGAAAAAAAAAACAATGCACTGTGTGTGCACTTACAAATTAGTAGATTAATGTCAAAGACTTACATTCTTTTCCTTTGACAATTCCCCAAAATTTCACACAAAAAGAAACAGTAAATATAAAATGAGCACCGATTCACAATATATTACACATTTGTAACTGTATAATATACAATTCTGATACTATGATTGTTGGCTAAAGAATTTAGAAGCTTTGTAATTTAGAATATTTCTATAACTCTTATACACGCAGCAGTCACAAACCAACCAAACTGGCAGTTTGAAAAACTATTTCTGAACACCTGCAAATACAAAAAACAAAACAAAACCAAACAAACACACATCGTTCTCAACCATTTTAAAAATCCTTTCTTTTAAAGATTGCAATCATGGCATGTCTCTAATATTAGATATTACTAGATACTATACAGTGGAAAAAAATAGTTAATATATAGGAGAGATTACATATTTGAGGTTGAGTCAAAGTTTTACAACATTGTGATTTCTTCCAACATTAAAAAATAATTTTAGATGCAGCCTCAATTTGTCAAATTACTACATCTGAGCAATGAGGTACGTTTGTACCCGTTCGCTACAAAGAGACGAAAAGAAAATACAGCTGGCCACATCTATAGTAACATAATCATTTCCTTTAAAAAGGATCATTTCAATCTCTATGTGAAATAACATGATTAATAGAAACCATTAATTTACATTTGATTGTCATTACAAAATATCTATAAATCAAAGTTATCTAGAAGGTATAAAAGCAGAACACATGTCTCTAAAAAATACCATCACAAAGAAATCTGAGAATGCTGTATATATATAACTTGTGGCAAGGCCTTTAAACAGTATGACACGCCAGTTCACATTATACTTACTGTGTACATGTTTTGATATATGGCTACATGCCATGCCAGAATCTACAGTTTAAAAGTTCAGAAGGTGAACAACAATACCACTGACACCCTTCCAATATAACGCAGTAGCCATTTAATAACTGCTGCCATTATGAAACATTATATGTTCAGCGTATGTTCGGATTGCATCAGAGAGGGGGTTTGTTTAAACCTAAGATAGTTTCTCGATGTAAAGCTTAAAAATGACCATCCAGCACAATTACCACCTCTGTGACAAAGTGCAGGGTTATTATAGTGTTCAACAATAACTGAACACTACAAGCATCAAAACAGTAGTGTTATTCTGCAAGCCCATTATATTTTCTGGTGTTCATGAAATTGTGTTCACCCTCCCTGTATATTGGCCGCTATGTATTTACAGACATTTTTCGTCTACTTAAAGAGTTTAAAGGTATACATCATTCACTTGAATTTTGACCTGTTATTGTCCCATCACCATGCAAACTGCCACACAATATCTGTACCTGTACTGCTTCACACATTATAACAAGTGTAGCCAAGTGATAGCTGGCATCAAGTTTTTTTAGGGCGACTGAACAAAAAACCGAAACATCTCTGCCGCAGTGTGACCAAAATCCGGTGTGTGAAAATAGCAGAATAAAATTCAAATCCAAGCTCAAGCACTCCTTCTAAGTTTTAACAAAGTGTTAAAGAGGCAAACATTGGTGTCTCACAAGCCTACTAGTCCAGTCCACTCTCATTTATAAAGAGTCATTTCACCGTCCAAGGTGTTCGATGACATGCTGTCCTTTTCATATTAAAACATTGAAACATTGAGAACCTAAAGGCGAAAGAAAAAAGCAGTGTTAGAAATTCAAAACCAAATAAAAACAAACAGATATCGAGTGTACAGTATGAACAGATGAGAAATATGTGGCTGGTTTTACACCTAAAGTGGTTCCTTTGGGGTTCTTTAATCAAATGGTCATAAATAACAAGAAAATGGACTTCTACCAAATAAGGCTAGGCATGCGTGAACTGTACGTTGATCTATCATGCTTACTTGGCCATTTACTCAAACAGTTAAGAAAAATTGTTTCAAAAGCATGAACTTATTTCAAGGAGTGTAACCAGTGTCATCCAAAACTGTGTTTTGGATGGCACTGGTTTGGGTTTGGGGTTTTTTTGCTCTCTTTTGGGTTTTTTTTGCTCTCTTTCTCTTGACGAAGGCGTCGCACTTTTCTCCTCTCCTCCTCTCCCTTAGCTTCCCTGCTTAGCCTCTTGTGTCCTTGTCTAGTCTCGTGTTTTTTGTATTACTTTTCCCTGGAACACTCTCTCACAGTCTGTTCTCTAAAACCTAAAATAGGAATTATGGATTTGATTTGACCAACTGGTCCCTGAATACGATTGACACCCTTTTTCTCAACGAGAAGTCGGGGCTCGGGTGAGCCTGAGTGCTGAAGATATCTACCTATTCGGAACCGTGATAACAGGTTTCTTGCTGATTGGAGCTGGCTTGGCCCTGGCTTATCGAAGAATTAAGAAAGCGGAACCGGCTGTTCAAACCCCCAC